GGATGTTGCCTGGGACAGGCAAGGAACAGGTAGAGTATAGACTATTATGCATATACTTAGAGGGTTCTTAACAACACATACTCAACAGCTCCTAAAATTCAAAGAGTATTAAGTATAAAAGACAGCATAACAAGTTAGCAAGACTGTCAAACAACTTCTTGTTACCTGAATATACTGTGCACTTTTACATTCCCATGCACTCACTTACTGTGGAATGTCTTTGCTCTCCAGGCTGCCTTGCAGAAATACAATTTACCCTCTAGCTCTTTTATGCCCCAAGTTAAATCAATGATAGCATGGTATTATAGGAAACTGTATATAATTCCCCCTATCATATGTTTGAACACCCTCCATCATATTTTATAGTACAGTATATTCTTTAGTTTGTGTACTTTTTCTGCTTATCCTTTACATTTTGGGTATATAGGGTTGTATTATAGTATGAATGTTTATGTATAAAATTTAGTGGGATAAATAATAGAATGAAAGATAAAGTACTTATAAAAGATTTTTATTTCTAGTGGTTATCATAGGAAATAAATTCACATTTTTTAGAGGTTTCTCAAGTCACTGAGGAAAAGACTATATAACATAGTTCTGTTATCAAGAAAGCCATCATTGCTATTTTAAAGACCTGTTATTATGTATATTAGAGTCTGATTCACTTCATTCTGAGGCTGCAAAAGCTGTTGAAGGACTTGTTTTACATAGAAATACTATGTATAATCTTTGTGATGGGAGAGGATTGATATCTTAATATCCATAAAATTGTTTCTGATGTTGACGCTACCAAGTTAGAAAGTGCAAAATGAATAGGTAAAATTCAACTTTAAGATAATGTGTACACTGGCCAGAGCAATTAGACAGACGAAAGAAATTAAAGGCATAAAAATAGGAAAAGAAGAACTTAAATTATCACTATTTGCATCGACATGATTCTATACCTAGCAGACCCAAAAGGGTCTACAAAGAAACTATTAGAGCTAATAAATGAATTCAGCAAAGTGGCAGGATATAAAATCAACATGCATAAATCAAAGGCATTCCTGTATATCAGTGACAAATCCTCTGAAATGGAAATGAGGACAACCACTCCATTCACAATATCCTCAAAAAAAATAAAATACTTGGGAATCAACCTACCAAAAGAGGTGAAAGACTTATACAATGAAAACTACAGAACCCTAAAGAGAGAAATAGAAGAAGATCTTAGAAGATGGAAAAATATACCCTGTTCATGGATAGGCAGAACTAACATCATCAAAATGGCGATATTACCAAAAGTTCTCTATAGGTTTAATGCAATGCCAATCAAAATCCCAACGGCATTTCTTGTAGAAATAGAGAAAGCAATCATGAAATTCATATGGAAAAATAAAAGACCCAGAATAGCAAAAACAATGCTAAGCAGGAAGTGTGAATCAGGCGGTATAGCGATACCAGACTTCAAACTATACTACAGAGCAATAGTAACAAAAACAGCATGGTACTGGTACCAAAACAGGTGGGTGGACCAATGGTACAGAATAGAGGACACAGAAACCAATCCACAAAACTACAACTATCTTATATTTGATAAAGGGGCTAAAAGCATGCAATGGAGGAAGGATAGCATCTTCAACAAATGGTGCTGGGAAAACTGGAAATCCATATGCAACAAAATGAAACTGAATCCCTTTCTCTCGCCATGCACAAAAGTTAACTCAAAATGGATCAAGGAGCTTGATATCAAATCAGAGACACAGCATCTGATAGAAGAAAAAGTTGGCTACGATCTACATACTGTGGGGTCGGGCTCCAAATTCCTCAATAGGACACCCATAGCACAAGAGTTAATAACTAGAATCAACAATTGGGACTTACTCAAACTAAAAAGTTTTTTTCTCAGCAAAAGAAACAATAAGAGAGGTAAATAGGGAGCCTACATCCTGGGAACAAATCTTTACTCCTCACACTTCAGATAGAGCCCTAATATCCAGAGTATACAAAGAACTCAAAAAATTAGACAATAAGATAACAAATAACCCAATCAACAAATGGGCCAAGGACCTGAATAGACACTTCTCAGAGGAGGACATACAATCAATCAACAAGTACATGAAAAAATGCTCACCATCTCTAGCAGTCAGAGAAATGCAAATGAAAACCACCCTAAGATACCATCTCACTCCAGTAAGATTGGCAGCCATTATGAAGTCAAACAACAACAAGTGCTGGCGAGGATGTGGGGAAAAGGGTACACTTGTACATTGCTGGTGGGACTGCAAATTGGTGCAGCCAATTTGGAAAGCAGTATGGAGCTTTCTTGGAAAGCTGGGAATGGAGCCACCATTTGACCCAGCTATTCCCCTTCTTGGTCTATTCCCTAAAGACCTAAAAAGAGCATGCTACAGGGACACTGCTACATCGATGTTCATAGCAGCACAATTCACAATAGCAAGACTGTGGAACCAACCTAGATGCCCTTCAATAGACGAATGGATAAAAAAAAATGTGGCATTTATACACAATGGAGTATTACTCTGCATTAAAAAATGACAAAATCATAGAATTTGCAGGGAAATGGATGACATTAGAGCAGATTATGCTAAGTGAAGCTAGCCAATCCCTAAAAAACAAATGCCAAATGTCTTCTTTGATATAAGGAGAGTAACTAAGAACAGAGTAGGGACTAAGAGCATGAGAAGAAGATTAACATTAAACAGAGACATGAGGTGGGAGGGAAAGGGAGACAGAAGGGAAATTGCATGGAAATGGAAGGAGACCCTCAGGGTTATACAAAATTACATACAAGAAGAAGTGAGGGGAAAGGGAAAAATAATACAAGGGGGAGAAATGAATGACAGTAGATGGGGTAGAGAGAGAAGAGGGGAGGGGAGGGTAGGGGAGGGGAGGGGGATAGTAGAGGATAGGAAAGGCAGCAGAACACAACAGACACTAGTATGGCAATATGTAAATCAATGAATGTGTAACTGATGTGATTCTGCAATCTGTATATGGGGTAAAAATGGGAGTTCATAACCCACTTGAATCAAAGTGTGAAATATGATATATCAAGAACTATGTAATGTTTTGAGCAACCAACAATAAAAATTAAAAAAAAGATAATGTGTACATATCAGTATACTAGTATGTAAAAGAATGGATGAGAAAGTAATCCTATCTAATTCTTCTGATCAACACTAGAGAAGAGTTTCCAAATGGAGCATTAATTAGAATCTTGTCTAAATTTATATTTTGTACTTATAATATAGAAAGCAGAAAACCTGGCATTTACTTTTTGCTTTTCATTTTCATAACATTACCATAGGTTATCTACTATTTGAATGCTAACTTTGATGTTTTACTTTAGTCATCCTTTTCTATGCTATTGGACATTTGGCTGTTGGTAGAAGGCAACTCTTAGTATTGCTTCCATGTTTATATACTTTATTCAATTAGGAACCTATCTACCATTGTGCCTGTTTATCAGAACATGGCATGATTCACATGTTTGAGGATGGTGATTGAAATGCTTGAATGGAATATCTTTTTATTCTAACTGCTGATGACTGACTGGAGTGTTTTAAAGAAATAAGTTTCTTTAACTCACCAGTGTATTATAAGAAACATGATATGGGATATCTCTCTAAAATTTAAATTCTTAGAAAACACGCAAATTATACCAGTTTAATGTAAATACTCATATTAGTACATATCATCCCCATCTTGGGATATTTATCTTTTTATGAAATGTTCTAAAATATGTAAATTAATTTATTTCATAAAAAGTAACATATAGGGGCTGGGATTGTGGCTCAGTGGTGGAGCACTCACCTAGCGCGTGTGAGGCTCTGGGTTCGATACTCAGCACCACATAAAAATAAATAAATAAAACAAAAATATTTTTAAAAAACTTGACATATAAAGTGGCTTCTAATTAGAACACATTCGCTTTTGGATTTGACCATTAATTGAGTCTGTCATGGTTTACTGCAGAATCCAAACATACACTGTGTTAAATTTCATTTGAAACCACATTATACTTAGGCCATTTTTTTAAAAAAAATGTTTTATTTTTTAATTGTTGATAGACCTTTGTTTTACTTATTTATATGCGGTGCTGAGAATTGAACCCAGTGCCTCACACATGCCAGGCAAGTGCACTACCACTGAGCCCCAGGCCCAGGCCCAGGCCATTTTATTATAATTGCCACTTTGCTCTTTGATACTTGATAGATTGTACTTATAGGCAATATGTTTATATAAAAATTAAAGTAAAATTTCTAATTTATGAGTAGTAGTTTAATGTTTGCTATTGCCCTTTGCCTCTCTGAACTCTACTGATTTTTCTAGGCCAAACAGAATTATCAAATTTGATGAATTTTTTTGTACACTAGTGGCTTGACTTGTGGAATTTTGTATATGGTTTATAGTAATTGTTTCCTTTTGCCTTATATTATTAGTTAGCTCTGAACATGCCTGCCTCCTGTACTGGCTCCTGGAGAGCAAAGACCTTTAGGCATCCATGTATCTTTCATAACCTCTTTATAGTACATATATAGCCCCTATATTGTCAGAAAATGTTTATTGAAGTATTGAGGTTATTGATTTCCTCCCTGATTTTCCAAATTGCAGATATGTATCAACAGTAACTTGAGGTTTAAATGAGGAATCAGTCATCCATCACATAGAGTTAAGGCTCTATAATTGATGTTGCCCAGGTTTGAAAAACTAATTTATTATATATCAGCTGTGGGACTACCTCATCTGTAATAGGGATGTATCAGTCTCCTAGAGTAATTGATGAGGATTAACATAAATAGTTGGCTAAAACATTTACTATGGTACCTATCATATAGGACACACTCAATAAAATGTACAGTTTTGCTAAATATAGTACTATTAAGTTCTTTGAGGGCCTGTCTTTTGGGCACCTAACCTAGTGTATGCTAAATACTCAATAAATACTTGCTTGAGTTGAATTGATTGATTTACCCTATTTTTATCTTCCATTACAGCCCACTGTTTGTAACATGGAAGATTGGTCGAGACAAAAGATTGCGTGGATGCATAGGTACTTTTTCTGCCATGAATTTGCATTCAGGACTCAGGGAGTACACACTTACCAGGTGAAGACCAATTTTTGTTACCTCTGCTTCTGCATTAAAAAAAAAAATCTTATGGAACTTGAGCCTGATATTTTAACTCCTTTTCCTTTACTGAACTGTCAACATTCTTGACTCCTTTCATGTCAGGTTTTTCCTTCTCTTTGACCAATTACCTTCTCTTATAAAATGTTGTTGATATATATTATCATATTATAAAATACTGTAGTTACATGTATTATGCCATAGATACTTTGAACTCCCCACAATGGCCAGCTCATTTTTTATAACTTGAAAATCAATGACCAAATATCCACGGGTTACCAAAAATATTTCTGTACTAAGTCATTCATTGTTTCTTTCCTTTTAAGCTTTTAAAAAATAGTTAATGCCTCTTTTATCTTACACATTTTGTATACTTTTATGTATTTTTGATTTTGAAGGGAGAACCTAGAAAAAATATAATGCCCCAGCCTGGCAGATAATCATTCACATTCACACTTTAAACTACAATTACCCTGGATTAATTGTAGTTTGTTTATTTTGTTTCATCTAACACAAGGACAAAGTAATGAGAGCCTCCATACAGTTGTTAAAACTTTGTTCTTAATGTTTGATCTCACAAAAAGCTATCTAGCATGCCATCTGATTTATTTGTTCAAATTTAGATTTCTAGCAAATTGTGTTCCAAAATTATTTCAAAAGAAGAAAATTCCTTAAATAATAAGCTATTAGTAAAGGAATTTCCTGTTTTTGTTCATTTTTCAGGACAATTATATGACACCATTTCTATAGTTATAATATGCACAGTGTCTATCCAACAAAAAACTGGTCCTTGCTAACTGTTGGTACTTGGGACAAGTTGCTTAACCTCCATAGGTGAAGTAATAATCATAGCATTTTGTTTTACATACTTAATAAGGGCATTAGGGGGATCTTGAAGGAATGAAATAATTACAACTTTGCTTCAAGATTAATGTGTGGACATTCATTATTTTACTGTAGAATTGTATAAATGCAAACTCCTAACGAGGTACTTTAACTTAATATTCTCATATTTTAAGGTGCACAGTAGCTCACAGCTGCAAGATTTTTTCAGTGGACTTACAGTGAAGTCCAGGGGAAAAAAAAGCATTGGTTTAGAGGGTCATATTTGGTTTTAGCTTTTCACAGGTATTAGAAACTGAGTGTTTGTATTTGAGTAAATAGCATATAGCCTATAAGGCTTCAAAATATGCATCCTAGAAATAACTACAACTTGTTAGAGAGTGCAAATGTTAGCCTATTTATGTCAGTTTTTTATTTTTTACATGAAATACAATAGGCTCATTTTGAGACTTAAGTAAATTCTGCCAGTGACTACCTTTTTGGGACAGGTGCACATGAAATGACATGTTTAATAAATAATCACAGGCAATTTATTGCACGTTTCCCAAAAATAAGTTGAAATGAGGCACACTGGTTCCTTGGTATTGCCTGAAAAAAGAGAATTCTGAGGCCAAGTAAGTTTGGGAAACACTAATTAAAAAATGTAAACAGTTCTACTCATTGTAGGATTTCCCAGAAACTTTTATTTTAACACAAGGACAAAGTAATGAGAGTGTTTTGAATCTCTAATAGATATAGAATGAAGCATTTTCTAGACTACAGCTTTTTTGACTACAGAACCCCTTTTATCCTCTCATTCCAGTGTCTTATGCCATTAATGTTTAAAGGAACACCTTTTTGGAAATACAAGTCTGTTATGAAACTTGAATTTCAGTTTATATCTGGGTAGTAAAAATATATGTGTGTGTGTGTGTGAGTGTGTGTGTGTGTGTGTGTGTGAGAGAGAGAGAGAGAGAGAGAGAGAGAGAGAGAGAGAGAGAGAGAGACCGAGACCCTTTGTGTTTTCTAGTGAGATTGTGGTAGAAATTCCTTATCAAATATTATCTACTTTATTTATTTATTTACTTATTGGTACTAGGAATTGAACCCAGGGGCTCTTAACCATTGAGTCCCATCCCCAGCCCTAAATATTATCCACTTTAGAAATCTTCAGTAGTAGTAGCTGGTAGCAACTTGGTTTTAGGAAAATAAATTATTTTGTCTCCATTGATACGGAGGGATGAGAATATCCAACTTTTCTGCAATTTTTAATTTATCACTAAGGGTATTACCAGAAGAATTGCAATGTATTTTTCTGACAATAATAGGATCTAAATGAATTGTTCGGATAATCAGACTTGGACATTTGCCTACATTTGTATACCTTGTTATTTTTATTTTAGTCTGTGGCTCTTCCTGTTTACTTTCCAACTTTTTTCTCATGTTTCTATATAACTTCCTCAAATAGTATATAGCACATTAAAGAGGGGTGTGTGTGTGTGTGTATACACGCACATTCCTGGTTTTACTATTCAGTTTTGTTTAGCATAATGTTATTTGATTAACATATTAAGAATCAAATTATTTGGAATTGATGAAAAAAGAAAATAAGTCTTATAAAATGCAATTAATCTTTTTTTCCTGGGTTCATTTTAGAGTCACAAACTATAGAATTAATTTAAGAAGTTTCAATTTCCTGTTTTTAGTCTAACAGTGTGCTTATTTTCTACATGTTATTGTTATGACTATTATTAGCGGCTACCATTTATTAAGAATTTATTATATATTAGACATTACTGAGGAGCTTTATATGTACAGTCCTCACAATTCTTAGATATTTATAGCCACAATTTTAAAATGAGGAAACTGAGATTAAGTAATTTAAATAATTTGCCCATAAAAGTTGATGACAGTATACAAATTAAGGTGTTTAGCAGATCTCAAGACTTCAAAGTGCAAATATTCTTTGTGTCAGTTAAGAACAATATATTATTTACCAATATTTCTTGTATTTACTTATATTTATGGCTTTTACATGTTAATAAGCAGAGAGATTTTTCTTCTTTTAGTACTTATAAAACATATACAGAAGAGAGTTATGATTAATAGAGATAAATACAAACATCAGTCGAGGAAGATTCCTTAAACATTGGGCTCAGAAGTTGTACCACAGACTACAGATGTGTTTCTTCATGTAAATTCAAGTTGGTAGTAAGTTTTCTAGAATACAAAACTGATTAATAGATGTGTTATTATTTAGTGAAAACACGAATGTGGTCTGTCACCATACTTAAAAGTCTGTCTTTCCTGACTTCTCATTTACTTTGTCATATTTAGACCTCTTGGCAGTGAAATAATTATGCAGGTGCTAGCAGCGTCTGGAGCTTGATTCTGAACTATGCTACTTTTGTGCTGCTTAATTCTGAGAAATTAGCAATGGAGGTTTAGTCCTTTCTAGGGAACGGGGTAACCACATAAAGGCTGATGTGTTTGCTTTGTTTTGTTCTGTGTGAGTGTGTAAGTGAGTGGGGTGTTTTTATATGTGTGTCGCACTTTACAAATGTTTACTTCTGCTGGATTATTTAAGATACTGAAAATAACTAAAGGTCTTAGATGGGCTGGGCACTTCTGGGTGACTAGAAGCATTGTAAACCAAAATTGCTTCTGTATTTTGGTGGTGTACTCTGACCTTTTTCTAGAGCATTGTGTGTTTAAAAACCATTGTAAGCAGCATGATTATATTTCTCCCATTGGAGTAGGCTATTATGTGATAATTCTTGTTCTTCATTTTTTAAAGTAACTACACTTGGCTCATTATGAGTAATTATATTAAGCAAGTCCCCCTCCTCATAAAATAGTAGTCCTTTGGTAGCATCACCCAGATCAATTTTTCTTATAAAAAGAAAAGCTGTACATGAGTCACTTCTGACTGTACATTATTGTCATGGAAGCTCATTTAGCGATGTTAAGGTTAGACTATTTTTGGCAAGTGTCTCTGGCAGGACTTCTGGCTAAAGTATGCTTTTGGGGGAAATAATTTAGATGTATTTGAAACACAGTGCTTAGTCTAGCTTAGTCTAAAACCTACATTTTGTTGCCTTTTTAGAAAAAGGAGGATGGCCTGAGTCCTAAAAATTTATATCTAATTTTATAGTTTGTTTATTGATTACCAAATAACTAATTAAATATATGTCAGATTTTGTAAGCATTTAATTTAAGGTGTAATTGGAACCTGTATTTTTGTAAGCTATTTACTTCACATTATCCATAGGAAAGCATAGTGAAGCTATTTATTTGGAGAAATTGGGAGTCTTCATGTTAGCTTCTAGGTTAATGCACTCCTTCATTATCCCAAGATTGTATTAATTTGCCAAGAGGTAGCCAAAAAATGGCCAGCAGAATGTGGAAGGGGAAACTAAAGAGCAAGAACCTTTCCCAGTATGGGTAGTGGCACTTGAATTATAGAGAATTGTCTGAATTCATATAGCACTTACTGCCCAAAAATTAAGTGTAGTGAGTGTATCAGATTCTTATTCCTTATCACTTCTTTCAGATCTTCAGAGTCTCCAGTTGAAATGTCCCTGCTGCTTTGATTAAGAGCCACAGGCACAATGTCGTTGGACAAAAAAAGTATAAAAGACCATCTATAAAAAGGTGTGAGGGAAGCTGAACATGTTTTTTACCCCCAGTGTCAGGGCTATTGAATTTAATCAGGAGGGGGTAAAGTACAAGAAATTAACCCTATTCTTACATGTGTCTATGAACTTTACAAAACTCTTTGCTCTGAGGAGGCTGCTATTTCCCCCCTTTAATCATGTTTAAACAGTGCATCCTGAAAATCTTGTCTACATTTTGCCTCAGGAGTTAATAATATAGTAAGAGAGAAAAGAAGTTACATAAATAATTATAGTCATAGGTAGAATGTGATTTTTGCCTAAAAGGCAAAGGAGATGATACTAGATGAATACAACTACGCTTTTTCTGTAATAAAAACTGGAATGTATTTAAAGCAGTTTACAGAATTATTTCATCAATCCATCCATTGTTCACTGCATGTAAAATCCAAAATTGTTTTTATCTACGTGGTTAAAAAATCAAAATGCAAAAGTGTGTTTAAATTATTATCAGAAGTAATTATGTATGAGAAGTGGGAGATT